GAATAATAGAAGTAAGGAATACTAGGTAATTGAGGAACAATGCACAGGGTGCATCATGTGAAATGAAATAATAAATTCAAAATAAATCTTAGACATCCTGCCCGGTCSAAGCAAYTGCTTCGAAATCGTCCGGTTGTAAAAGTAAGCACAGTTTTTGTACTGCCCGGGTGCACACGCCATTAGAAGTCATCAATGTTGCGTTTCGAACAAGGCCATCACTGCCAGGATGTACCTCTGTTACACGACCCAGTCGCCAATGWGTTGGGGGGAGGTTTTCATGTCTGACTAGGACAATATCTCCCACCTGAAGATTTTCGGTMCGCTTGCGCCACTTACTTCGTGATTGTAGAGTCGCCAAATACTCTTCACTCCACCGATGCCAGAACTGTTGATGGATTCGTCGTAACCACTGCCAGTGCTTTAGTTGGTTAGATGGAATTTCCGCCACGGTCGGTTCTGGAACTGCGAGAAGTGGGGCGCCAATGAGGAAGTCTCCAGGTGTTAGCGCGTATTTGTCCTCAGGGTCATCAGTCAGCGGTATAAGTGGACGCGAATTCAAACAAGCTTCAATTCGTGTCGCTAGTGTTTGTAACTGCGAATGCCACATCGCCTGATTACCGATGACACGAACCAAATGTCGTTTCGCGGACTTCACGGCAGCCTCCCATAATCCACCTTGATGGGGGGCACTTGGGGTTATAAAGTGCCAAGTCGTCCCAACGTTGGCGAGATATTGTTGATTCGGTTCACTGTGCCAAGCGGCTAGATCTTCCTTCATCATCCGATTGGCTCCGACGAAAGTTGTAGCGTTGTCGCTATATAAGTCACGACACAAACCGCGTCGACTWACAAAACGCGTGAAAGCGTCTATRAACGCCTTTGATGACAAGTCATCCACCAACTCGATGTGGACAGCTTTGGTAGCCATACATACGAAAACGGACAGATAAGTTTTCACTGTACTGCGAGATCTTTTAGTGCCAATGCGGAGTGAAAATGGACCGCAGTAATCTACACCCGACACCAAAAATGGCCGAGATACGTTGACCCGATGTCGTGGTAATGAGGCCATCTGTTGAGTAATGGTAACTCCCCGATGTCTTCTGCAAATCACACATTGATGTACCATACTGCGGACAACTTGCCTTGCATGAAGAATCCAATAGCGGTAGCGTAGGATCTGCAGCATCAGCTGTGTACCGCCATGAAGGRTGTCGATATGAGTTTGGTGTACAAGCAGCCTAACTAAATCGCTAGTCTTCGGAAGTATAGTTGGATGACGATGTTCTTCTACCAATGCTGATCTATGAATGCGGCCGCCTACTCGGATGATACCGTGATCATCTATGTAGGGGTTAAATGCTAGTAGTGTGCTGGAGGTTGATAAGTTGGTTGCTTCGCGCAAGCAACGTAAGTCTTGAGGAAACGCGGATGATTGATCAATCCGAATGAGCAATTCAAGCGCGTTATCCGTCTCTGGGGTTGTAACAAGCCGTTGTCGAAAATGGCGATGCCTTGGTAACCAGCGCAGAACTATAGCTGTAGTTCTGAGAAGTCGTCTGATAGAACTAAAGCGCTGTGTTAGTGGAATATGCTGTCCATCTATACGTCGGGTGATAAGCTGCAATCTAATTGACGATGCGAAGGTTAAAACTCTTGACTTCTCTTCAATCTGCATAGTTATACGTTCGTCAGCTTGTAACTCCGGTGCCTGGTGAAATGGGGTTGTTTYCTGACGTAACCAATCTGGGCCCGACCACCACAAGTGATGGCTCAGCAACTCTGATGGGGTCACACCACGGCTGGCGCAATCCGCTGGATTCTGCGCTGAACGTACATAATGCCACCAATCTAATGACGTCAATTGTTGTATTTGCCGAACCCTATTAGCAACATATGGCTTTAACATCATTGGCTGTTTGCGTATCCAACTCAACACAATACTGGAGTCCGTCAGTAAGTGAACAGAGGTATCCTCTAAACTRAGCGCTTTGCGAACATTACAAATTGTTTTGGCTAATAAAAGAGCTCCACATAGTTCCAGTCGAGGGATTGTGGCTCCTTTCAGCGSCGCAACCTTGGTGCGCGCGGTAAGCAAGGATATCTTGGCGTTGTCATCATTGTCAATAGTGCGTCCGTAAACCACAGCGGCATAGGCTTTCTGACTGGCATCACAAAAACCATAGAGGGAAGTACGAATAGTTGCATGCATACCAAGCCATCGAGGTACACGAACCTTATCGAGAATACCTAAGTCATCACGAAATTTAGACCAAATATGACACAGATCCTTAGTTAGTGGAGTATCCCAAGATATACCCGTAGACCAAAGAGTCTGTATAAATACCTTGCCCGATATAATGACTGGTGCCAAAAATCCAGTGGGGTCATA